CCGCGCGCACAGCGGCCGGCCGCTGGGGAAGCTGCGATTGCCGCCGCCCCGCCAGTTCGCCGCGCCCACCAGCGAGGCAGTGGTGCCCGCGAGCAGCGCCCCAGCGCGGCCCCAGGCGCTCGGCCTCCGGCCCGGGGCTCCGACCTGACCCGGGTTCATGGCGCTGGGGCTGGGGCTGTGGCTGCTCCTTGGGCTCACAGTGACCTCCGCCGCAGGTAAGTGGGCGCGGGCGGCTGTCTCCAGGAGCGAGCGCGCACAAAAGGCCCTGGGTGGGGGTGCCAACGTCTGGGGTGCGCGGGGCAGCCCCAGAGACGAGTGCGGAGAGAAGAATGACCGCTTGCCGGAGCGAGCCACCCCTGGAGGCGCCGGGGGCGCGGCTGGGGGCCGAGGCAGCGGGCATGGAGGAGCCGCGGGCCCTGGAAGTTGCAGCCTGAGCGCAGGCTGGATACCTGTGCCTGGCCCGACTTTGGTCAACTTTTCATGAAGTTGGAAACTTTTCATAATGTTTGCTAAGTGTTCCCGGTGTTTTCAGACAGTGTGCAAAATGCTTGCAAACTTCTCCGAAAGTGAAAATGGCTTGCAAGCTTCTCCCACCAAGCAAGCACATCTTTCGCAGGCTTTTCAGGCACCGTGCACAGTTTGCAGCCTTTTCAGGAACGCTGCGCAGTTTGCAGCCTTTTCTGAACTTAATGCTCGGGTTCGGAGACTTTGCAGAAAGTGCAACCCGCCTGCAAAGGGTGCAGGAAGCTTGCTTGCTGCCCCTCCCCCCAGGTGTTTGGGGAAGGGGCCTGGGGAGGGGGTCTGCGTTCTCAAGAGGCCCTCAATCTACCTCTTGCAGGATTTGTGCCTCTCCCCCAGCTGGAGGTCGCAGGCCAGGACCTCGGGCCCGGGGGCCTCCCTGAAGTTGGCTCTGAGGGGCATGATGAGGAGGCTGTGGCCGCAAAGGCGCAGAGTCTGACCCCTGGAAGTCCCGATCTAGAGCGGGGACCAGGCCAGAGTGGGAAGCAGGCAGCTGATGGGGACCCTGCGCGCCGCCGAACCCGCCGTTGCACGTGCTTCACCTACAAGGACAAGGAGTGCGTCTACTACTGCCACCTGGACATCATCTGGATCAACACTCCGGAGTGAGTAAGCCCCCAGGGTGGGAATGTGGCCCTGAGGCCTGCGCTGGAACAGCCTTCTGCTCTTGCTAGGGTTCCCTGGCAGCCCAGGCCTGGTCTGCAAGTTGGAGGTGTGACCCCCATCCCCAGCCAGGCCCAGAAGAAACTCAATCCAGGAGTTTCTGATGGGGGAGGGGGAAATGAGCCAGCCTCCGGGACTGACACCGGAGAGTCCCCGTGAGCCTCTTCTTCCTGAGACAGAGGAAGCCCGAAAGTTACCTCCTGCCCCAGGGGCTCAGTGGCCCGTCCCTCCCTCTGACCCGCAGGAGTGACTCCAAGGAGTTTAAAATTCCTTGAAAGCAGCCTGCTAGGCAGAGAGTGAGGGCAGCTGAGCCAGGGGCACAGGCCACCTGCACCAGCCCCTTCCCTCCCACAGCTGCCCGGGCAGCCTGTGTTACTGTCCATGATGCCTTGGCCACAGACGTAGCAGCTGCCCCCTGCCTCTGATTCAGTCTGGGGTCTGCCTTGCTGTGAAGACAGCCCTCCTGTGAGGTCACAGGGGGTGGCTGTGCAGGGGCAGGGTCGGCTGGCATCCACAGTCCCTCACTCAGTGTGCAGGAGCCCCTCTGGAGACGCATCATCTTACAAATCCAGGAGGGGCAATGAAGGGATATTACCTTGCTCTGGCCGCCAACCCAGTGGACTTTGCTTTCCCCATCCCTAAAATCCTGGAGTGAGACCAAGCCTAGAGGCCGGATGCTCCTGGGATATCCTGGGAGTCCTGGGGGGCTCTTACTGGAGTGATTGGCAGCTAGGAACATGGTTTTCCCATGCGACCTTGAACCACAGCCTGGACAGGCACCAGGGCCACTCTGTGGGATGTACGCAGCGGCCTCCTACGTCCCAAGCACAGTGTCCTCCGAGCATTCAGGTGCAGCTCAGGTGGGCTCATTGTTTCCTGGGCAACCTGATCGTGATGCAAAAGAGATAAATGTGAGGGCTCGAAGGTCTTCCGGCCAGGTGACAGCCCTCTAAGCCCGTGTGGGGCATGTCTGGAAAGCCCCATCACGCAGAGTGGCATGAGAAGGGCCCACGCTCGGCTTCCTGCTCTGTTGGCGCTGCCTCAGAGTTCTTAATC